TTCCGTGTAAACACCCAAAACGGGAACCTTTGAAAATGGTGACATCATGCGCGTGCATAGAACGTGTTAGGTATGTAGACATGCGCAGTACGTGTCGATTTTAAAGGCAAGTACATGGTACTGTTGTTGCTGTTTAAGAGTTTGCTAACGCTTCTTCAGCAAAGTGTGGATTTACTTCACCAATATTACAACCAACAGCGGAGATGTATCATATACACACGGAAACAGGTACTGTTTACTAACAAGGTGACATCGCCAACTACTGGCCTGGCATACGTAATACAGCGTTTTTGGCCATTTTCGCGGATGTGTGAATTGTTTTGAAAACGTTGTCGTGTATACGTGAAACTTTTTAAAAACGCAAGGGAAAAACTTTTCCGTTTTTGACTACATCGTTGTCGTGTAAACGTAGCCTCAGTTCATTTGCTGGCTTCCATGGCTGTAATACGGCTGTTTTCTACCAACTGGCAACCCGGGGTGTCAAAATCCTATTGGGTAAACCAGCAGTGGGCGGAGTCACCAAAACAGACATGCAGACACAGAACGCACATTTCAAAGTAGAATTGAGTAGAATTCAAAGTAGAATTAAAACTGAGCATTTTTCTGAATTATTTGAAAACATAGTATTTTTATGCTTTAGTACAGTCTAAAAAAAATTATATACAGGACTGTTAATTCTGACCGCTTGGAAAAGCAAAAGCACACCTCTCCTGAACAAGCCAACAAGCAATTCAAGTCTGCATTCACGTCTGCTGCATGAATGATTGATACTTCATTTAAAAACCTCACCCTGAGCACCAGCAACAGTAATTAATAGTGACATTTGCCATTAAGTGCAGCAATTGCGGTATTTTGGCTAAACCTATGGTACGTTTTGAAAGGATAGGCTCTAGATTGTAGACTGACATTTAGTGAATGCTGAGAAATATTCAGTTCAAGGGGATTTATGGAAGATTTATTCGATTCATTGGATGAAACTCTCTGAAAAGTCTGAATAAGCTCCCAAGGGCGCTGGCAGATTAGCGCACAATAGACAATGAGTGCACACTTTCTGGGTTGAAGAAGTGCTCACCTTGTACTGAGTCGGCCCCGGGTGGCTCATTTCCTCTTTGCTGGGGAGGAAAAGCCGGCGCGGTGCAATAGAGCCGAAGGCGCCCTTCCTCGTGCTCTCCAGACAGGCTTTCTTTAAACTCTCATAAGCCAGGCCATACTCAAACACATTATAGGCACCGGGACCTAGACATGCACGAGTTAGACGATTAGTTACTACTGGAGCTGCACTTACTAGGGCTGTTTGATATTGATGGCTGTTCAAAAGTTTGAGGTTGGTAAGATTTTTTTGTTTTTTTTAAGGAAGTCTTTTCTGGTCACCAAGGTTGCATTTATTTGATAAAAGTACAATAAAAACTGCAATATTGTGAAATATTTTTACTATTTAGAATAACTGTTTTCTATTGTAATATTTGTAAAAATATAATTTATTACTGTGATGCAAAGTTGAATTTTCAGCATCTTTACTCCAGTCTTCAGTGTCACATGATTCTGCAGAAATCATTCTAATATGCTGATTTGCTGCTCAAGAAACATTTCTGATTATTATCAATGTTGAAAACTATATATTATTTTTGGAAACTGCGATAAAATGTATTTTTTTAGGATTCTTTGATGAATATAAATTTCAAAAGCACAGAATTTATTGGAAATATAAACATTTTGTTATTTTATAAACATCTTTACTGTCACGCTTGACCAATTTAATGTGTTTTTGCTGACTATAAAACTATCTCATGGGTTAAATCAGGTAAAAATAGATTTTTAATTGCAGGTTAAAACTTTTTACAGTGTAGTCCATTGCGTTCATTGCACTTTGACTATTCTGAATGTAATTACTGATAAAGAAATTTTAATTTAAACTGAAAATACATCAAATTCAGTAGAAAGTAGTTCAATGGAAGGCAACAAAAAAGTTTTCATGAAATAACATCTCGAGACTACTTTGTAGCAAAATAGTAGGCTACACTAGTATACCAAGCACTTTTGGCATACTACTTTCAATGTACTATGATTTGTGATGCACTAATTGTAATTTTGCATACTAGACAGTATGCAATTTAAAATGCATCTTGAGTGTTTTGATTGGTCGCTTTGAAAGTAGCTTGAAATCTGATTGGCTGCTGTTGTAAAGCATTTGTGTAGCAGTATGAAATCTAGTGCTTTGTCCTTCTGGCAAGCACAGCCCAAATCTGACCTCTCACTGTGTGTTTCACAGATAAAAGACATTTTGCATTCAGTATACTGAACAAAATCACATTCACACAGGTACAAACCTGGCGTAGCTTTCGATCTGTTTTCTGGCAGGAAGCGTACAGCTGTCAGGCCGAAAGGATTGTTCTTCACCCCTCTGCCTTTCTTCAGGATCTCCAGAGCACAGCGCGGGTCATTGTACGCACCTACAGGGGGCGTCTCATCCTTCACCGGACTGAACCGCTACAGAAAACAACACAATACTGAGATCAGATGAAAGTGACATGAAGAGGCATTCACAACACTTTTTACCTCTGTCATTACATTTTACTAAAAGATTATAATTACTATTTAAATAATGTGCATGGATGAGATGTGTATTAAAATGAATACACAGAAATGTGTATTAAACAAGTAAATAAGGTCTAATTTGATTTCATGTGACTTCAGGAGAGTTTATTCCAGAGCAGCTGTTATTAGCAGCGGGTATGCATGTCCAAAAATAAAGGAGTTTGTTGTTGCCTGAGCTTGAGACAGGAAGGGTGGACTCAACACAGGAGCGTGTGGGTTACTGGCCGTCTCAAACTGACTCTTTATGTAGTATCGCCCTGGTCCTGGGACACCCTAAAAATACACACACGCACACACACACTTATGAAAAATGCACACATAATGAAAACCAAAGTTATTTGAAAAGCATCCATGCAGAAACGCATCTAAATTTTAGCTCAGGTCTTGTTGCAATAGTGCCCTCCACAGACAAGACAAAACATCTACATGCAAGCTGGCAAAATAATACTCTTAAAAATCTCTTTGAAATGGAACAGTTTGTTGAACCTTTGAAAAGTTTGAATATGTGCAATTTGAATATCATATTTCAAATATCAGGCTTATATAGTATGATATAGCAAGAATATGGAGGAAAAACACCTCAGTTTTATTCAGATATATATATGGCCAAAAGGTAAGATGAAACTCTGATAATAAGTTTGAAATATAAATCAATGAGATCTTTATAACAGTATAGCAGATACTTACATAAAATGCATATAAATATCAGAGGGCATGTAGTAGATTGTGTACAGCAGGAAATTTTTTTTATCAAATATGATACAGGAATTTAAGTTATCATATCAGTGTGTTTCAAAATTGTCATTATTTGGGCATTAAGTGACACAGAACCAGTGTTGGGGAAAGTTACTTTTAAAAGTAATGCATTACTCCATAAAAAAGTAACTAATTACGTTGCTTAGTTACTTTTTATGGAAAGTAATGTGTTACGTTACTTTTGCGTTACTTTTTAAATTTGGACAGGGCTTTTTTTGTTTTTAAAATAAAAAGGTTTTATTTTTGGCAAATATAAAAGCCTTTTCACACCAAAAGTGAAATGAATAAGCCTCAGGCTGAAGGGAAAGTAAATTTACGTCCGTACAGTAGAATGCAGAAGAAGAAATTTCAACACACTTCAGCAATAAAAAAAGACACACAAATGTTTGTCTAGAGTCATTTTTGCTTATTAGTATGGTTGAACTGGATCATTGAAGGTCAGAAGCAAAGACATTGGTTAATAGAATGGGATTAAATACATAAAGTATATTTGTGTTGTTTAACATTTAATTATTGCAGGTTTGCGTCATATTCTGAGTTGCATTATTTTTATTCATTTTGAGGAATACTGAATCTGTGTTTTTTTTTTTGTGAGTGAGATGAATTAATGTATATTCATATTTATTTTAGAACTACATTAACATCTTCTGATTTCTCTCAACATGGGGACAAGAGAGCCGTCAATCAATAAATTTGGAAAAAAAAAGTAACTTGTATTACTTATTTGAAAAAGTAACTCAGATATTCTCTTGTAAATTAAAAAGTAATGCGTTACTTTACTAGTTACTTGAAAAAAGTAATCTGATTACGTAACTCGCGTTACTTGTAATGCGTTACCCCCAACACTGCACAGAACTGACACACTTTGGCTGTAACTTGCAGCTTCAATGGCATCAAATGTCTTTGTAAATAAAAATCACCAAGCGTCCAAAACTACTTCCTCTGATAGCTACACGTGTAACAGAGACTAAATACAAAGGATATGAGGTTTAAACCTTCTTCTCCTCCTGTAGAGCCACCAGCTCGTGGTACCGAGGGATGACCAGCTCTGAACGGCCTCTCTGCTCTCGCCTGAGATTCACATTCTCACAGAGGACAGTGTGATCCCTGATACACACAAACACACACATACAGGGATACACAAAATCAAGCATTTAATCAAACACACCATACAGTGCTGCAGGGATGATGCATTTTTGGTATCGTCATAAAGTCAATGGGTTTTTTGAATGGGTTTTTTATTAAATTCCTGAAATAAGGTCTGTGGTTAAACACAAGCTCAAGATATTTTCAATTTTTATTGTGCAACATAAAATAGATCAGTAATACCCCCTTGTGAATTTTTAAGAAGCTTAATGGCTAAGTCATGTGACTGTGGTGTAGTTCATTTATAGCCAACATTTAGCTTTTTACTTTTGCCGATTATATATAGGCTTCGAAATTCATAGAAGTTGTGTTCCTTTTTGAAGATTATCATGATGAACAAAACATGTAAAAATCATAAACTTTTGTTGGACACAGATTTTTTTTTTTCTGCAGTGATCCAAAAGACAATAGGAAAATCTTGAAATTTTGAGTTTTGTGCACAGTGTTCGTCAGACGGTCAGAGAACAGACTGCAGTTGGTCCGTAGCTAAAATTTATTCTGAAGCATCTGCACATGGAAAACCAAGTCCAGATGCTTCAGAATAAATTTTGCAAGACAATGTGAATGCTGCTGTGTTACAGCTAAGACAATCTGCATCAATCAAACTCACTCTTGTAGATCATAATGTCCTGGTCCAGGTCCGTCTCCACCCGTTGTCTGCTCTCTCCGACCCGTCATCTTCCCAAAATGCACACCTTTATACTTCTGAGAGGACGACAGATCCTCCTACAAAATGCCAAAAAAAAAAAAAAGATATTTTTCAATATATTTTTTTAGGATTTCAATCCTTTCACCTTGAATGTTTGTTCCTGAGCCCAACTCACTTGTCTGCACTTTCATCGGATAATAATACAGATTTATGTTTTAAAGAGAATCTATTATAGCGCATATTCTAAAGTCCACTAAGACCATTTACTGTATTGAAACTAAACTGCAAAAAAAACCTCATAATTCAGAAAATATCGTGATTAGATGATCGAAACTCTCAATACATTAAAAGGAAAACTTCAGCATGTCTGCTAAATTAATATTTTAAATATATAAAATGTTATTTGTATGAGGTAGACACCAACTCAAAAAAAATAATATTAACACATTATCAATATTAATATAAAATTGCTCATTTAATTATTTTACCAACATAACATTATTTTTTTATTCTTTATTCAAACACACTCACTTTTTTCTTATAATTTATTTTTACATTGTCTGGTTTTCTAGTATATTTCACAACCTGATTCCTATGTACATTTTTTTTTAGAAATGATATATGAATTATATATTACTTAAAGACAAAACTGATTTATACTGACAGAATGTATTCAGTTTAATTATATTGTACTATTTATTTATTTGTGACTCTGGAGCACAAAAGCAGTCTTAAGTCGCTGGGGTATATTTGTAGCAATAGCCAAAAATACATTGTATGGGTCAAAATTATTGATTTTTCTTTTATGCCAAAAAATCATTAGGATATTAAGTACAGATCATGTTCCATGAAGATATTTTGTAAATTTCCTACCGTAAATATATAAAAACTTAATTTTTGATTAGTAATATACATTGCTAAGAACTTCATTTGGACAACTTTAAAGGCCATTCCTCAGATTCCAGATTTTAAAATAGTTGTATCTCGGCCAAATATTGTCCTATCCTAACAAACCATACATCAATGGAAAGCTTATTTATTCAGCTTTCAGATGCTGTATAAATCTCAATTTCGAAAAATGTACCCTTATGACTGGTTTTGTGGTCCAGGGTCACATTTGTTTTACAATTTATTGATATTTACTATACAATATTGAGTATTAGCCATAATAGATGGTTATTCGTCATAATAAATGGTAAACTGCATTGGCCTAATTTTCAATGTCAGTGCATTCATAATGAATCCTTGATGAAAATGATTAATTAACCTTGATGAACCTCATTGAGCTGCATGTTTTATGTACACTATGGCTCACTATAGGTTTTGGTCAATAAGTGGTCCTCAGTGAAACTAAATAAAGTGCAACAAAAGTGTAAAAAAAAAAAGTGCAAAAATAAGTGTAAAAAAGTGGGCGAAACTAAATGGGCGGAATATGTGTAATCAACGAGCAAAACCTGAGACGAGAGAGCGAAACAGAGATGCACCATGACGGATGGCCCTGCGCTTTGATAAAGCGTTCTTCCCCCTCTAGAAGAAGTTGGCAGCTCAATGGCAAAAGAAAGATGATTTGATTAAAGCTGAGTCCAGCATCTGCTGCATTATTGTAAGTGAATATTGAAATATAACGTAAAGAATAATTACCCAGGGTTTTCGGTCCTGACAGTAAAATGGATGAGTGCTGCGCTTTGTGACTTTTTAAAATAATGCAGCGATCATTACTAATGGAAATAGGCCTGGCACTAATGATGCAGAGCGGAGGGGCATTAGACGCTCTTCTGTTAATGGACACATCTGACCTCACACACACACACTCAAAGCACTCCATTAGACGTGTATCTTTTTCACTGAGTGCACATCCATTTACACACACTGCTCGTAATCTGTCTGACCGGTATGGGACTGTAGAAGGCCGGGCCGAGGGTCTGGTCTCTGGTGGGGGGTTTGTGCCGGTGCAGGACACCTTGAGCATCCTCTTCATATCCGAATGCCTGTCCGGGAGACGGGATGGCCGGAGCAATAATTTGTTACAAAATATAATTAGTTATATTGTTTAACAACACTTGCTATCATATGGAAAATTCAAAAAATGCAATGATCCTACAAAACAGGGTTTATTATCTATTATTTATTTATTACAGGGTTTATGCAAAATATAATTTGTTATACTTTTACAACAAATATAATTTGTTACAAAATACAATGTTATATATAATAAAACATGTACTTGTTATATTTTTGTATTTATATTTTTGTTGTATTTTTATATATTATAATTTGTTATATTTTTATAACAAATATAATTTGTTATAAAATATAATTTATTCAAATTTGTTACAACATATAATTTGTATTATTGTTACATTTTTAACAACACTTGGATAAATGGTTATATCTTTATAACTCTGAATAATAAAATTAAATTATAGTCCATATGATAATCCAAACTTTTATTTTGTTATATGTGACCCTGGAGCACAAAACCAGTCATAAGTAGCACGGGTATATTTGTAGCAATAGCCAAAAATACCAAAATTATGGGCCCATTATGGGTATGGGCCAAAATTATCGATTTTTTTTTATGCCAAAAATCATTAGGATATTAACACACACACACTCAAAGCACTCCATTAGACGTGTATCTTTTTCACTGAGTGCACATCCATTTACACACACTGCTCGTAATCTGTCTGACCGGTATGGGACTGTAGAAGGCCGGGCCGAGGGTCTGGTCTCTGGTGGGGGGTTTGTGCCGGTGCAGGACACCTTGAGCATCCTCTTCATATCCGAACGCCTGTCCAAGAGACGGGATGGACGGGGCATCAGGATTCAGCAGCAACCTCGCCGCTTTAGAGACGGCCTGCAGACATTGACATATAATCAAATACGCATATCAGACCATTATCAGAGAGAGATTCATTACAGCTGCAAGGAAAAAGTATGCAAACCCTTTGGGTTTACCAGGATAGTTGCATTAATTGTGAATAAAATACTTCTTGAAATATTTTGGGGGATAATTTGTTATATTTTTATAACAAATATAATTTGCTATAAAATACAATTTATTATAATTTGTTACAAAATATAATTTGTTTTATTATTACATTTTTAACAACACTTGGATAAATGGTTTAAATGTAACTTTACATCTCATCATAATAAAAAAATGAGTCCATTTGATAACCCAAACTAATGTCTCACCTTTGGGCTCTTCTCTGGATTGGTTTGTCTTTTCCCTGCAGGTGAAACATCATTTGTAACATTGTACGCTCCCGGTCCCGGCACATCTGACACCACGTCATCAAAGCGCTTGCAGCGATTCTGAAGACTCTTTCCTCCCAAAATGTGATTCTGCAAGATTCCAGTTATAAGTTTGCATTCTTCACTGATATTAATTGCTTGCGAGGTGATGTTATTAAAAAAAATGTAATGTACCCTGGTGATGTCACTGTTGTACTGTCCTGGTCCAGGAGAGAGGGGACCACTGCCTGACCCCAGGAACCCTGACTCTCTACTGGACAGCGAGAGGAAGGGGGCATACGAATCTGGAGAAACAGATAGAAATTATAAATACACTGAACAAAATTATAAACGGAACACTTTTGTTTTTGCCCCCATTTGTCATGAGCTGAACTCAAAGATCTAAGACTTTTTCTATGTACACAAAAGACCTATTTCTCTCAAATATTGTTCACAAATCTGTCTAAATCTGTGTTAGTGAGCACTTCTTCTTTGCCGAGATAATCCATCCACCTCACAGGTGTGGCATATCAAGATGCTGATTAGACAGGATGATTATTGCACAGATGTGCCTTAGGCTGGCCACAATAAAAGGTATTATATACTAAATTTTGTTCAGTGTAAATACATACATGATACATACATACATAATTCATATTACTCTTAGCAACAATAATAATAAATTAATAAAAATATATATTATCCTATATATAGTATATAGTATACTATACAATATAGCCAGTCAAAATTTCAACTTTGGGGGGCGTTATCGACTCGTGGGAGGCGGTGTAGGATAGGGGGCCTCGGGGTCTATCCCCGACCCGAGTTTGGGGGGCACTATCCCCGGCCCCCGGGG